CCCCCCCCCCCGAAAAACATGCGCCGTGACCCCCCAATCGCCAGGCGAGAAGGGTGCTATTTCAGGCCGTTAGCCCCGCCCTGTCTCCCATCGTGACCCTCGTCCCTCCCCTCCTCGAGCAAGCGTTAGCCGGAGGCTCGAAGGAGGCGGGATCGGCCGCGCAGGGGTTGCTGAGGCTGCAGGTGTCGGTGGTGGAGTGCCTCGGCAAAGAGGTGGGTTTTTGGTTCTTTCTAGTAGTAGAGGTGACGTTTTTTTATTTCTTCTTGTTAATATATTGCATTTTTTTTTACGAATGTTTGGGGAGGGGGGGGGGTGTACTCATAGTCGTGCATGCCGTAGTCGTTAGACCATTGACCTCGCATCCCTACAAAGCCGGGACGAAGCACGCCGGGTTCTCACCGAACCAGGCTCTCACGTCACCAAGCTCGAAGCGCCGTGAGGTATTCGGCGAGTCGCGTGAAGGGTGCGCTGCATCCTGCCAAGGGTGCTCGGCATCTTGTGCTCACTTCCTCGCGTAGGGATTACGCTGCGTAAGACATAATTGATTTTCTGGTGCTTTCACTTCCTGAGACAGTTGTGAGCGCTATGTAACTGCCTCGAGGGTGCTTGGCCATTTTAACACAACGTGGTGCGATTATCCCCCTTGCGCGGAGTGAGGGTTCTCGACCCCGCACAACATGATCTACTCGACCACCATTATGGTTACCGCACAAAAATATAAACAGAAGGGGGGAGGGGTGTTGTTGTTTTGCATGCCTTGGTTGTTGTTGTAGCTCATCGGTAGACCATTGACCACGCGACCTCGAGAGGACGGAGAATTGTTCCCACTAAAGGACCGAACATAGTTGGCCTCTTGTGTTTGATGTTTCTCCGGTTCGCTTGTAGAACCCACGACCGGCGTTGTTCGATCTGATAGGAGTAGAATCGAGTTGCTTGCCAACGGGAAGGCGACCTGTTTCGTAGTGTGGATCGCATTGGTCCCACGTGCCCCGATGCGCGCGGGGTAGAGAGGAAGGAACGTGTTGGTACTGTGACCCCCCCCCCCNCCCCCCCCCCTCTGCCTCGCCGCCGTGCCAAGTTCTGTTGGAGAATTCGGGGGTCTTTTTATCTTGTGGTTCACGGTGCCATGACGGGTCGTGCGCGACATAGCCAGTACGCATGTAAGCGTATCTTCTTCGAATTGCACTGCAGTCTTTCGTCGGAAACAACGTGCAACAGCCACGCACATGCAACTCATGTACCAGCTCCTGCCACGAAAAATATATCTACCATCTCGTTTGCTGCCAAACGACTACGACGAAAGAAGGAGACCGACGATAACCTCCCCTCCCCCAACAATAACAGGCTACAACTTGACCGTTACATCATTACACCCCATGTCTTCTGTCTGTCGACGAATAAACTTTCCGATGACTACTTTGGTCCCCCCCCCCCCCCCCCCCNCCCCCCCCCTCCCCGGCACAATACCCCCCCTCCCGAAAGGCCGGACCCACGTTCGCTTCTTCGGCGGTGGGGTCCCTCTCCGCGGCCGGAGTGGGCGGCAGCGGCAACGGCAACGACAACGGCAACGGCAACGGTGGCGCTCAGCATGGGGCCGCCGCCGGGCCGCCGTGGCTATCGTCTGGGTCGTTCCGTCTGCTGGCGTCGGTGCTCAAGGCGAGGAACAAGGAGACCAGGGCGCTGGTGCCGCAGGCGTGCGAGCTGGCGCTGGGGAGATTGCACGCGCTAGGGTAAGGGGTGTGTGTCTGTGTGTGTGTGTGTGGTTTTGGTGCAATTAGGTGGTTGCTGTGATCCGTGTTTTGGTTGAAGTGATGGCGGTGGTGATGGTAGCTGTTGTGTGGGTGATGCTTGATTCGGTGGTGGTGGTCTTGGTGTTGTCGTTGTTGTTATTTTGTAGCCGGGATTCGTGTTGTGGTTGTAGCGACGGTGGAGGCGTCGGTGGCAGTGGTGGCGATGCTTGGTTCGGTAACCCGGACGGCGGTCATAGACGATGCGATGGTCTTGGTGGTTTCATGGAAAAAGGGGGCGAGAGAGCTGGCCGGCGCTGGGGAAGGTTGCGCGAGCTGTGGGAGGGGGGAATAATCTTGCTTTGAAGGCGGCCAGTGTGATGCGTGATGGTTGTCAAGGGATACGACACCCGACGAAGACTGCGACAGTGATCGCATATGCATGAAAAGCACGACACTGGCTGATATCGGTCGTGCTCGGGCAAGTAGGGGGGGCACGAGAGGATCCCTTGCACGCGCTTGTGGAGGTGACTGAGCCTCCGCTCACTCGATGGCCGGTGTTTTGATATTTGTTGAGACAATTGAAGGATATGACGGTACTCAAAGTTCAGCTCTGGATGTATCTCAATCACCTATAGCCCGCAGGTGCCCTCCGCCCAATGCGCCATGAACGGCCGTAGCCATTCCGCCTGAATTATGCATCTTTCCCTACACAGCTATGCTGTTGTATCGAACATGCTGCCGATGCATGCACCCCCTTTGCTGCCCTGCGTATGTCCTTCGGGTGTTGCAACAACCAATGAAAAAAGGCGGTTGACGTCGATGGACCAGGGGGCATCGGGGTGGGGCGAGCGGTGGCTGGAGGGCCCGGTTGTGGACACGCTTCCGGACTTTCTGGACCTCTCAAAGGAGCTCCTCGTGACGCAGCTGCACTGTTTCCAGCCGTCTACGGTGAGAAAAATGATCAAAACGGTGCCCCCCCCCCCCCCCCCCNGGCCCCCCCCCCCCCCCCCCCGCACGCACAACGACTAGAGGCATCGCTCTGGGGGTAGGTGCTTTTCTTCGCGCTCTCTCTCTTTCTGTCTCTCTCTCCTAGCTTGAGATGTCCTCTTGTTGGTGGTGTAACCCACTTCCTGTTGGAGCCCCCGTGTATCTCAACTCCCCGCTCTTTTTGTCGTTCTTCGTGAAAGTGTGAAGAGCTTGTCTGCTGGCGTGGAGTGCGAACAGGATCGAGAACCACCACAGCCAACACAAGTAGTTGTTCTCCATGTTTTTATCTGTGTCATGTTTTTTTCATAGTGCTCATTCGTCAAAGTCGCCCGTAGCTTCTCTGCACGCTGATCAACTTGGGGGCACCGTGGATTTTCTGGGTAGGTCTTCATTCGCACAAGAGAACTCGAAACTTCCCGTTAACCCCCCCCTCCCCCTATCCCCTTTGACGACTTTGCATCCTGCGAAACCCCTTTCGTATTGGCGTACGTAGTCAGCCACGGGGGTGCCTGGGACTTCATTGGCCAGCGCCCTGTCCGCGCGCGCGTCGTTAAGCGGAGGCGGCGGCGGTGGCGGCGGCGGCGGCGGGGCGGGGGGTGGCTTCGCGTCAGAAGCGATGGCGACCCACTTCTCCGGCCTCATGACCGTGTTCCGGCTGCTGCTGTCCCTCCCGACACCGCCGGCCTCCTCGCCGCTGCCCGGCGGTACCACCGGCGGTAGCGGTGGCGGTGGGCATTCGGTGCCGCCGGACCTGGTGCGGAGGGGACTGTCGGTGCTAGAGGCGTCCCACCGGACGGGGGGACTGTTCCGCTTTCCGCCGTTCGCCGCGACGTGGCTGCAGCCGCTGCTGACCGACGCGCTGTGGGGGCTGGCGGAAGGGGCGCATCCGCTGACACATGAAGAGGTCCACCGCCTCGTCTTCGACCTTGCGGAGGTGAGGGATAGCGAGCGTAGCGTGTGTGGCGTGGCAGTAGGCGTCGAACGCGTTCGTGCTGCCGCTTGCTGGACATGTGTCTGTTTTTTTATTTTTGTGCGTGTGTGTGTGTTTCAAGCTTGTTTCGTTCGCAATCTGATGAGTGCCATGGTCGGTGTGCACGTGGGGATGATGCCCACAACCCATCGAACTACACACGATTCCACATGCATGCATGATCATCGATCATGGGTGCAGCACCCAGCACCACCATCTCCGTTCCTCCGCGCACTCCTCGCCGCCCCCCCACCCCCAACCCCCCTAGGTTGACCACCGGGCATTTGCCACCGAGTTCCTGCCGCACTTTCTCGGCACTCACTACTCGTGGCTGGGTGCAGAACAGAAGGAGGCTTTGTTGGCCCCGTGGAGGGCGGGGACGCACCTGGACATGCCCACGTTTTCGTCGTTCCTAGAGGCCTTGGTTTCGGATTTGTCGTTCTTCCGCGCGCAAGCGAACGCGGCGTGATGATTGTTTTGTGTTGACGCTTACATCATGTTTGTGGGGTTGTGCGTTGCTTGTCGAGAGTAAAAGTAAAATGAAATTTTGTTCCTTGATCAGACCTTTCACACGCAATCTATCGTCCCCCTCCATCATTGAAAATACCACGAAGCTGGTTGTTCTATTAGTTAGAAGGCAAGCGGTGGGATAAGAAAATATGACAGTCCCAAGCGAGCGTGCCCGTTGGGTGGGCCGCCTTCTCTGCCTCACGCTCTCTCTTCTCGAGACCCGCTTGCCCCATTTTCTCTCGTGCTTTCTCTTCATGGTTTTGGTGTCAAGCAACGCACGTCTGGTGCCAAGCAACACGTCTGTCTGGGCTCAACTGATCTCCGATCCGAAAAATCCTCATTTAATCGGACCTTTCGTAGCTACTTGGCGATCAGGACCGAGCCACACGTTTCGCCCTACATCCTCAACTTCACCGGTGCACAGAGACGGAAGGTCATGTCACTACATAGGTATACGCCTAGCACCGGAAGCCAAGGGCTTACAAGGTCTGTTGGACTGCGTGGCTGCTATTGCATTGGTATGGCTTTCGTCCGAGCGACGGACGACGCCTGAGTTCTCGCCAAAGTGCTGCAGACAATCTTGACAACACCGGCGAATGAATGAAGATATTTCCTAATGGAGCTTTCAATCGAAATATTATGCTCTGCCTCCTTTGTTGCGGACAAGAAGCAGAAGACGGCGTCGATAGTCACCCGAGACTTTATTGATTTCCAGCGCGGGGGGGGGGATAAACCGTGTCCCAAGGTAGAGGACCGATGGCGCGGTTGCTCTCGCCCTCACACTACTCATGACGACCATGGGTGGTCGTCGTGCGGTTATACGCCACGCGCTAGAGGATAGCGGGTCAACTCTTTTTCCGATCCTCTATCTCTCATCTATTTATTCTGTTCCGCTCACTTGTCCCGTCTACATCCTGTTTTACTCGAAAAAAATCCCCCCTTTTCCGAAAAAAAAAAAAAATGCCGTCCACATGTACCCACAGCGTTCATCATCGAACCGTCTTGCGAGCACGAAAACGCTCTTGGGAAACAACAAACGACCATCAACCAAACCGCAGAAAGGGCGGGCGGGTGTCCAACCAACCAATCAAATCGTACGGCCATATGGCAACACCGCCGGACTTGGGGGCCACCAACAATGTTGCTGATGGTTCTCTACCCGAGTACAGCTCCTCTGTAAATAGAAAAAAAGCCAACATACAAAAAGGATATCCAACAACAATGAACAAGAGTTTGGAAGTTGGCGTTCTTTGCCTACACGCAGCAGTTACCGGTACCGCTGTTGCCTCATCGGCCAAGACAGCCACAATAGCGACGCTCTCAACCCCCTCCACCCCCGTCAAGCAAGGCCAACAAAGTGATTTCCCAGGCTATTAGAGCTCCCCGCAGTCCTTGATCGTCACAGCCTGCGTAGGTCAGGCGTCACGTTTAGCATCGAAGCGCAAGTTGCGGGACAGGTAAGAGTAAGAGGTCAGCACCAAACCATTTCGTACGATCAATCGTCCCTGTTCGAAACGGGACCACAACCAACGGCGACCACTCCCCGCTCTATGGACACATTCTGTCAGTCTGCTTGTCTCAACACTCACCGTCTTGGTCTTGCCGGAGGGCGATCCGAGCGCCTCCAGCTTCTTCACCACGTCCATGCCGTCCACGACGCTGCCAAACACGACGTGCTTCCCGTCCAGCCAGGGGCAGTCGACGGTGCACAAGAAGAACTGGCTCCCGTTCGTGTTCGGGCCCGCGTTCGCCTTTTTTATTGTCATCGAGAGGAGGACAAAAAGGGTCGGAAGTATTTCAGGGCGACATGTACAGGAAGAATATGACCATCCGCGACAATGGGGAGGGGGGAGGCCATCCCGATGTTTGAACACTTCGTTCATGACGCTCAGAGAGCACAAGGCAAACTTCCCGGGGAACACATCAAACAAAGCAAATACTTACAGTAGCGTGGAGGTGGAGGTGTTGATTGGTCGAAAACTGGAATGCGCTTGTGTGCGTGGCGGGGTTTGAAAAAAAAGCGCGGGATACTCGTGGGGGGCAGGCGCCAAGTCTTTTCTCATTCAACGCGTGAACACGTTAAGAAAACAAACCCGGACAAACTTTGTAGCGTGCCTGTTCGAATGTCGTTTCAACAGGCCCTATTACTTGATGCACACACCACTGCTGCTGCTGTACCACTTACCATCGAGAGGATACCCGGGCCGGTGTGCGACAACTCGAAGTTCTCGTCCGGGAACGTGCGGCCGTAGATCGACTCGCCACCTGCAAAACCGAACAATAGGCAACGTCAAGAGGGCAGAGACCACGACTTTTCATTTGCTTCCATTCCACCGCACGAGCATAAGACGGAAATATGCGTCGAATTTGGGTGTGTCATGCGGACAACCCAGCCGCGGGTGTCGGAAAGAAAACGAGGGCGGCAAAAAATGACGAAATCCGATGCCTCCTGCGATCAACCGCAACACCATGAAAAGGTGTTCGGTGAAGCTGCACGCAGACGCCGTTGAAATATCAAAAATGTGCAGATCACTCCACCACTACCAAGTCTGGGAGTAGGGGAGTAAAACTTTCAGGTCGAGAAAAAAGACCCTTGCGATCTCCCACCATAAAAAAAGATGCACAGCAGTTGAGTACCCTACACTTGAGAACTCTACACTAGTTGATTTTGGTTTTACCCGGAGGAAACAAGTAACGAATCTCGGGAGGTTCTAGAGTGGTGGCGCGTTCGGTGCGGCAATAGAAGCGCCCTGGCACGCTGTCGCTATGCACGCGCTCCTTTCGTTTTCTAGGAAATTTCTGACGGCGAGGGAAAATCTCACCGGTGCCGTCTCCAGCCGTGAAGTCGCCGCCCTGGCACATGAACTGCGCGAGTTGGATCACGAAACGGGTGCATGTCGTGCGATGCGTGTCAGAACGAATTTTTTATTAATTACGCAACCCACAAATGTGCAAAAAATTTAACAGGAAAATTTGGGACGTAGGATCCACGCGGACACATGCGAAGGATATTCTCCCCCTCTCCTTGAGCTAGGATCACCCTCTCCAAGAGAAGAAGGCCGACAACAAATACAAGAAGCTTTCGCGTACGATACGCCTGAAGTTTCTTCTTCCTCCTCACCTGCGGGATGATGCGGTGGAACTTCGACCCCTTGAACCCCTTCACGGGGCCCTCCCCGGTGCACAGCTGCCGGAAGTTCTCTGCAAAACCGAAGCAAGAGAAAGAAAGAGAGAGACCGGACGACGGTGCAATTTCCTTGTTGGAGTAGGTGTGTATATGTGACTAAACGCTGCTGTCCATCGACGGTGGTCACGGACTACCAGGGTGAACATTAAAACACCCACACATTTGTGTAGACCAGACGACATGCAGTGCGACAGTTGAGCCCGCTGAGAGTTGTCCGAACTTTCGGGGAGCAACCAGGAGCAGGTGGGCAGCAGGAGGGGCGCGGGTCACCCTGCTGGCAAAAACCACACACACGCCCTGAGACACATTTTCCCGTTAAACCGATCGATCGAACGGTGTTGTGTTTGCCGCCCCGCCAACAACCGTGTCGATGTCTGCGTCACCGTCCGAACTCCCTCACAAAAAAAACGACATCTCAGGAAATCAGCCTGTCACCTGCTGTCTTGGGCACGACGTCCGCTCGAAGCTCGAGAGTGATCCGCCCCATGTCTTTGCCCCCCGCGTCGATGTCGAAGAACACCTGGGGCGATCATTTGTTCGACCACCATCACCATTGGCATGGGGGAAAGAGTTGACAAACTAAACACTTCAGAGAGCTACCTCCACACAAAGTTGTTCGTTCCATCAACATGGGGAGATAGGGTAGCAAACAAACATCAGCAAGCACTTGCTTTCTCTCAGACGTGTGCGTGCGGTAACCATGTTCGTCTAATTTATTTTCAAGTTTTCAGCGCAAGCGTTGGGGAAACTACATGTATGCACACGGCGCCGCCCGCGCAACACAAGCGGTACCCTTTCCCTTCAGCTGCCCGTAAGCATGCGTCGTGCTGGACACCGTTACTGCACGAGGCACAAACTCAAAGTGACGCCTCCACGACCGGAGGCGTTCATCTCCAGCGGAAAAACGCGCCCCTCCCCTCCCCACCGCCCCCCCTATTTCTTGACGCTGAGACCACCTGATCAAACGGCCCTTCGTCACCTCATACTTGAGGACTGCGGGTTGCAGTAAGCCCAAGCAGAATATCTACCATAAACATGTCTTATTCCCCTTGCTAACATGGTGGAGTACATGCCACCGTTCCGATTCGGACCCGACAAAATGCCGCGAGATGACAAGCGAGAGAGCGTTTGGTTCGAGCCTCGTGTCACAGCTCACAGCATAAAACTTGACGCGTCTGGTCAGCATCCGAGGCGTGGTGGAACCGCTCAAGCGGGAACATGGGCATAGATAGGCGGTACCACTGAAGGCTTGGTGAAAATTGTGCTGCGCATTGCAACGGCCGTTCCAGCAATGGTCAAAATCTTTTTGTAGCCAGCCATGCCACGCCATCTACACCTCCAAATTCGTTCAAAGCAAAATCCACACGGGAACGAATCTACCTCCAGCTTTGTTGCATAAGAACCGATCGATCAGGAGTTGCTGTGGTTCGCAATGCTTTGTACCCGGAGCAAATCATGTCGACGTGTGGAGAAACGAATCCTTACGTGTCCCCTACGGATTGGAGGGATGTTTCTAACTTTGCTCCCACCTACAGCGAGAGCTTTAGAGGAAGGACTGCACCGACTGCGCCTATGGGACAAAACGACCTTCGGGGATCACACGACTGTTGGGTAAAGAAAACATTGAATACAACAAGTGAATGCTGCAGCACGGGGGTGGGTGGGGGGGATTGTCTGCTTGCTGTGAACATTGTATGCACGCACGTGCGGCGAACCAACTTGTGAAAAAACGTCGGTGTTCACACCTTGGGGTTGGCCATCGCAAGCGTTTGGCGCGACGACCGCTGCCCTGCCGCTGCCGCGCGCGGCGCGCTGTGCCCCCCCCTCACCGAGGTAGCCGCAAACCTGCAATGACACCAAACGGACCAAAGACTGTTAAGTGAGATATCACCGGAAAATATTACGGCAGGTCAGCGGGCACGGGAGACATCAAAATACACGGGAGGGGTTTACGCAACGCTACACTTGTGGAAAAGTTCCCGCGCCGCTGGCGCTGGGGCAGACCTACAGAAACAGTTTCCGTGTGTACGAGCACTGCTGCTGATGTTGAGAAGAAGTTACTTGCACCCTCAGGCGATGACCTACATATGCGAGGATCCGAATAAACCTAGACCTTGCACACGTGTCGCGACCGCCTGCGGCGAAGAGCTAGGCAAGCTCGCTCGATGCCAGCAAGTCTGGTGGTGGGTAAACGACAGCCAAAAACGTCTAGAGACGGGATGGATTGCAGGGAAGCCCGGAGCGCGGCCAGCCGTGTAGCCTACTCAGCTGCTCGGCGGGGTTTACGACTACTACAAGCATGAACAAGAGGTTTGTGTCTACACTACCGTACAGCATGATCTCTCCCAAACAACTCTTCACTTGCAAGTGGGCTAATCGACCCGCGCGCGGCGAATATTGCAGAAAAACTGATGCTGTGAGAGTACAAACGGAAAGGTGTCTACGGCTTGTGCCCCAAGAAACACGTGTGCATGCCGCAGAGCTCATGTTGCCGTTGGGCATGAACGACCATCCATCACATCGCCACCTGGCAGAGACCGACCGCGACATATTTCCAACAAGAGAAGCGACAGCAGCCTTGCGCGTGCTTCGACGGCATCCTCTTCACTGTGGCTCTCCCCCCTCACAACGCCACGCCCTGAGCCTGGGCACGCACCACCGCTGTGCTCAAGCACACCATTTCTGTCATCATCATGAGGCCTGTCCTCTCACCTCGACTGCGCAGAGCCGACCATCGAGCCGCCGCCATGCACAAATCCTAGCGCGGGAGCGCTGGCTCCCAGAACCACTCCAGCAGCTGCTGCAACGAAGAACTTCATTTCTACAAAAGCGGAGGGGATGGGACAGAGAGTAGATCGAGAAGTGCAACACAGAGCGAGAGGTAGGACGCGCTGGATGCCGTGCTTGCTCAGCAGCAACACACAGTCTAAGGGGCTCCACAGCTGGGAACCTGGGGTGTGAGGCTACTCAACTTTTTTTTTTTTCACATCATCGCATACTGCTGTGTTTCTGTGTTTCTGCAGTCTGGTGCTCCAACTGCTGCTGCTGGTGTGTCCTAGCAGAGGAGAGAGAGGAGGGGAGTCATACGAGCTGTTTCATAGGGCAGAGGGAGGCCGCTCTTGTTCCCGCCGGAGAGTATTCTCCCGATGTTGACCAGGGTGAGTCGTATCGACGGCGGTCGCGGGTCAGTCACACGCACGGGGGAGTCGGAGAAACGGACGAATACATTCCCACAATCGTGGCAGCAGTAGAACACATTACCCGCCGCGGCCTGACGCCACGCCACACCTCCCAGAGAGCCAGCGCAATCCTGCAAGGTTCGTCCTATTGGCCGTCATACTTTGCACCGGAGCGTGCGTATACCCGGAATGGCATGTATCTTTTGGTGTCGGTCCAAGTAGAAAAATAATTCCTTCTCCGCAAGTCACAGCAGCAGGTAGCACCTCGTCCTCTCGCGCCTCCCAATCCCGCTCGCTCTCTGTGTCGCTACGATCGTCTACGGATAACAGCGAGAGAGCTCAGCTGTTGCGTTGCATACACAATCCCCCCCCCCCCCCCCCCCCCCCCCCCCCCCCCCCCCCCCCCCCCCCCCCCCCCCCCCCCCCCCCCCCCCCCCCNAACCCCCCCCCCCCCCGCCCCCCCACGCGTGGAAGCGCCGAGTAGCCATACGCGTCGAGATCGGGGTCATGTAGCCGGGGCAAACAGAGGAAGGTCCTGAAGTCATCAATCCATGAAACCAGCCCTGATGGCTCATCGCTGTTGGTATGCACATCATATGATCCCTTCCGGCTTCTGGCATGATTTGGCAGTGAGAGGAGGGTAGTGGGAAAGAGAGGATAGCCTTGCCCGATCTCGCCAGGTCCCTACGTGCGGGGGAGGGAGGGTTGTAGAGCTATAGATAAGAAGCAAGACAACCCAGTGAGCTTGCTACCCCACGCGGCCAAAGACACCCGAAATCGCCCACCCCCCGCTACATTGATAGCAAAGCGCCAGGCAATCAATCACTCGGAGGAGATTTCCTGCTTTCGAAAAATGGGAGCCAAACCGACGCTTGGCTCTTGCACGAGGGAGGTTGTTACACTTGACATGACGTAGCACTACTGCTGTGCCCCTGCCCCCGGGATACGTTCACGCGATTGCGGCAGCGTAGGTTTTGGTGACGCCTACGGCAGAACCAGATGTAGGATCGGTCTCGAACTCTCGAAGAAACTGCTGTACTGCTGTTGCTGTCGTGTGTTTTTCGATTCAGGTACACATCAGTGAGGTGGGTCACAGGCCAGAATAGAGAAAAAAGGGTGGAAGAACAAAAATTCGTTCCTTGGAATTGAACGAACGACACGGCAGCAGCACCACCATACACACATAGACGACAAGAGTTTTGCGTGCCATGAAAAGCGAATCACTAACATTGTCTAAGCCGTCGTCGTGGTGAGCAGCAGGGCGCCGGTGCTTGAATTATTTGAAACGCGGCGACGGACGCCTACACAGCACGCGCCAAACTTCCGGAAAACTGCTGCGCTCTGGAACAAATTATACTCCTGCTATATATTACCGTATATGACACAAGATAACACACCCCCTGGACCGATTTTCAAAGCTCGATTACTCCACGGCGAAAAGGACGAATAAACGAAACAATACATTTTTGGAAAGCTCTCGACGAGACGGTTCTAACGCCGCCATTTTTGGCGCCGTGACTCTCTCCGTTGTTGAGAAATCGAGATTCGAAAATCGGTCCAGGGAGTGTGTTATCTTGTGTCATTTACGGTATGCACGCTCCTCTTGCCCAGCAGGTGTCGCCTTCTTGTAAGAATGGCGTTTTACTTGCGAAAGTGTCTGTTCTTAATTTTGCCGCAATTTGTGTGGATTGGTGCCCTGCTACACATGCCAAAGACGATTTGTGCATCTATCCGTACAATATGCATGCCACGCGCAGCAGATATCCTTATGCGCAGAGAGGAGACATGCATGGGCGAGGTAACGACGTTTGTTCAAAGTCGGTAAGTCAATGATCAGGGTCGTTTTGTTATGGCCTTCCTCGTCGTGCCAACAAGGAAACGCCGCAAATCACCGACCTCGTCCAACTCCCAAGCACCCACTTGTGGGCCAAAACAAGCTAGTTCGGTTTTAACACATGTCTGGTTTTGCCACATACAAAGAGTCAGGGCACATGGATTTTGTGCATGGCGGCAAGGAAGGGCAGGCAGGTCTTCTTATTCGGCGATCTTCCGAGTGACAGGAGTACTCTGCCAGTGCCTACATGCAAGCATGCTTTCCTGTCCAAGAAAAAGCAGCAATAAGGTCACACAACGCGTTTGGTCTACTCGTTGGTAACCTCGCACCGTAGGTACTGTTGTAGCACCACGGGAGCACCAGGTTGTGGGTTCAAATCTTCTTCTCGCAAGTGAAGAAATGGCTGTTCGGTAAGCAGCGATGTCTTCTGCTAGTGCGGTACGCACAATACTACCAAAAGTAGGAGGGACAAGACGGGAACTGCCGAAGCTCTCTCCTGTGAGATATGTACTGCTGTACATTAACGGCAGTATTTCTGGTCGAAAGGCAAAGCAGACGCCGCAAGCACAACGAAGAGACCCCACGGCAGCAGCAGGGTCGCTTTCCTCCAGTAACGGTGATGCGTACCACCAGGTCGAACTGGTGGTCTCCATCCATCACTGCTGATGTCTCCACATCGAAGGTTCACCACACATCCACCTTCCAATAACACCGGTCGCCCCGGTGGTCTAGTGGGTAGCCTCGCAGCCTGCTAAGGGCCAGGTCATGGGTTCGAGACCCGGCAGAGAGAGTTTTTTTCTCGCTAAATAAATCCTGGTCTAGGATGAAAGCGACGCGCTGCAAAGCTCGTTTGTTAGTAAACCATAATCGACTTCGTAAGTCGCGAGGGAAGGGATTGCTGTACCCTTCTCGCGATAAAAATACCTCAGGCATGAACCGCAGGAGGGGGCTCCTATGTGACCCCGGTTGGGTCGTCTAGCTAGTAGAAGTGGAGGATAGGGGCCAGAGGGGCAGACGACAGAGTCCAATATATAGCCCCAAGGTTCAAACGTTGGTAGCAGTATTGTGGCACGATCCGGCCGGGGCAAAACCTGTGAATAGCGAGCTCCTTTCTCTACAGCGGGTATGGCGGTGAACGGTCCGCACACCAACCGGCCGTGTTTAGGGTGCAGGGTTCGTTCAAACCGAGGTTCAAGCAATGTGTGGCTGTCGTGTCTTTCTGTCTCAACCGTTGCTTGCGACGAAGCCTCATAATGTACTAATAGCGCGTCTATCTTTGTGTCCGTATGATTTGATGTGTGAAATAAATTTTTGCACCCAGCCGGGGGGCGGGCGTACTCATGTTTTGCATGCCTTAGCGGTTAGGCCATTGACCACGCGTCCTCGAGAGGACGGAGCATTGTTCCCACAGGACCGATCACCGATGGCCGATCGTTCCTTTCTACTTTGCCAAAGGTGGCTCAAAAATGTCTTCCCTAGTCTGTCTATCCTAACGATATCCCTTCCCGCCTTTTCAACCCACCTCCTATGCCCCAGTACAGCTACCGTCCTTTCCTCTCTATTCCATGCCTCAAACATCTCCCTGTACGTTCCATCTATTTTTCCCAGCTCAGTCACGTACACTTCCCTCTCCTTCTTGTACAACGGACATTCCG